GACATAAATTTAATGGTCATGTTATATCGTGTGAACTCGTAATATATATGAACGTGCAATTAGAGAGGAGTGAATTTATTGATCGGACGCAAATGATGATTGAAATCGTACGAGCAGTCTTGATTGCGTATCGGCCCTGCTATATGCCTAGCCCAGCCCGTTAAGTCCAGAACACAAATGCAGCCTCGGCAATATGCATCAGCAAAATAATCGGGATCTGGCAGAACAATTAGATAATCTTGATCATTAGGTTCATTAGAAAAATTTTTGCATCATGGCTGGTTTGATTTGGCGCCACTGTATTCACTATACTGTTCGGTTTGTTCCCCGTTTCTTCGTGGGTGGTTACTGCAGCAATTTTATGGGCGCTTAGTAAGATATTGTCTTTCTGTAAACTGGACGATTCATTGTTCGCACGTTTTGTTTCAGGGATAGTAGGATTTGAGCCACGTATAGGGCATGCCTCTGAAACAGACAATACTGGACTACTGGGCTGATCATATGTGACTATTGTTTCGCTTAAATTACTGCTTTTCACGGATTCATAGAGGCTTTCCTTTGCATATTCATTTGTTCTGCAATCGTTTTCCAGTTCTGTACGCAATTTAGAAATCAATGCGTCAACTTCCGTTGCACCCCCAAAGCATGGGTGATTCAGCAGCTTCGCGTGTAACTTGTCAATGAAATCCAACTGACTCTTTTTAAAACGCTGCTCTTGTCTCTGGATTAGCAACTGAAATTGATCGGAAGTTAAAGCCATTTTTTCTACCCCGTCGCCAGTTGTTATATCGTAACCCTCTTAATATATTTATAGAGGGCAAATTCATACGTTATAACAGTCATAACCATTATTACTATGGAGACAAAATGATGCTTTATAATTCTAAGATGATTTTAAATACCCTTTCTAAAGAAGGTATTATTACCTCATTGATTAAATGGAGTAGTATTAACTTATCAAGATAAGTGGTTATTTAAATCAAGTCTGATATGGTGAGTAGTGACTAAATCGATTAAAGTGTAAGTGATATATAACATGTAATTATATGACTAAGTGTTTAATCATATCTGTTGCTTAGATACACTTATTTGTATTGAACTGTAAATATGTGTTCACACCATAGGTCATGAACTAAATGATGGTAGATGACTATTCAGTTCTGTTTATAAAACTCTGACTATTAATTTGACTAAATAAATCAAACAAAAAGTAGTTTCGATAATGCAATGAGAAGACGAAGATTATCTCATTGCATTATCGAAATTTATCAAAGGGACTAATTGCTTTAAAAAGTAGTTTATTCATGAATTTTGATTTATTCCTGGGGTTCACATAAATCTTTATCATCTGTCTTTGTTTCCTTATTATAAGTCGTCGGAATAAGGATTCGCAACACCAAGCGCTAGTCAATTGAGCATTACACAGACATAACAGCGACAGACAAAATAAAAAGAGAAAAGAATTTACAGGTACAAGCTACAGTAATATAACTAACCTAGATTTAATAAGGTAGTGAAATTTCACTGTATTTTTCAAGGTAAAAGATTATTATCACATAGTGATTGCATAACAAACACATTAACCTGGTATTTAAATAATCCATCAATAGTTTAACCAGTAATAACTGACATAGTTTATTCTTAATCATTTCGATAGTATATGCCCTGGTATGGCCGAGAGTGGGGAGAGTCCGCTCTCCCTCTCAAAATGCTCTCACACGGCCACGCGTATACAGCCCCTACCACGGGTGTTGTTCACGAAATTGAGAGGACGAAAAGCGAATGTCCGGTGCTTTAACCGGATTGGTGGACACAGAAAGTTCACCTAGGGGAACAGGAAAACTCTGATTCCAAACCAATGGTGCACATGGGCTCCAGTATCCTGAGCAAACAAATGGCGTATGAATCAATCGTTGGTCACCAGATACCATGTGATTGCATCTCCTCACGATGCTCCACCGCCTTGTGGATCAGATCTTTAGGTGAAAGGCTCCGAGTGTGGCCCTCTAAGAAAACCACCTTCTTCAGTATGGGCACGTGGGTATTATCACAGCTCTCACACAAATCGAATGAAATTTGTTTGGCACATATGTATCAGGTGCTTCCTTGTACCAATATTTATGTGTTTTAATAAATAAATATATAGCCAATAAAATGAATAGAATGTTAATGGGGGAAATACAAAAGTTAAATTAATAATAATGTGAAAATAACTCCATATCAAATACAATATTCAATACATTTTAATGGCAAGAAAATAATGTAACATAAGAGTTTTATTTTCTGATTTCATTTCTCATCTCAACTAATTTAATACAGTACCTCATATTGAGTTATAGTCACTTGACTTAATGAAATGTAGTTAACTCTATCCAATGTGACTTCATTCAAGAAACAACATTATGAAATTAAGTTCATTTACTATTAACGAGGCTATACGTCGAAATACATGATAATCAGATATGAATAACACATTTTTATTAGTAGTATAGAAGGTTTGTGGAAATTGTCAGGTTTTCACAAGACAAAATGTCCTAGTAGATAAACACTGTCGAAGAGTCCAATACTAGGAGGAAACATCTGTCCAGTGCCTTCTGAATTCATTAAGTGTTTAATTATGACTAATTCATAGTGTAAACCATGGACGTTCTTACTATTCTAATCACTTTCATATAATTGATCTTTTTTACACATTTCAGTACTGCTAAATTTAAAATACTAAATCATATGAAAATTACTGAGATAGTGTCACTAATCATGTATTGTATTTGTGACTTATTATTTTGTACATAATGGCTACTCATATAAACCGAGTTGATTCTGAAAATGGTGGGAGTAACATGGCAAATGGAAAAGGGTATTAATCAAAATAGTGCAAAACAACAACAGTGAGGACGAAAACTGAGAGAAAACTAAAAGTTATTGACAGTTCGTTCTAAAATGACCTATTTTAACAAACAAAACATTTTGTCTAATCAATATATAATGGAGGCTATCTAGAGGCATTAGGAAAAAGGATGGATTATTTGTTACATTTCAATCAGATAATTAGTTTTTTAGAAGGGGTTTTTTGTGGATATTTTAGTATTTTCATGGTTGAAATCATGAGTCAATTGAAGCTGGTAAGTCCTGAGTTCGAATATCGCGAGTGCGGGATCGTGGATGTGCACTGCTGAGGAGTCCTATAATAAGACGAAATAGCCGTCCAGTGCTTCCAGGTTTTCCATGGTGGCCACGCTTCAATTGACTCATGATTTCAACCATGAAAATTAGTCTTTTGTTCCTAAATTTATAGTGTTATCAGAAGCTCAAGGCCACTCTCATTAGGGGGAATCTAGGGAACGCAGGGGAAATAAATATCAAAGATTAGAGCATTAGATATATCGAGTACTACATACTTTTCACTAAAGAATTTTCAGTAGGAAATATAAATTATTGTTACAAATGGTAAGTGAATATAGAATGAATTTGTAACTACTCAAAAAATATATGAAAATATATTCAAACAAGGACTAACTGCTATTGATCTTCAATCATCGAAGTTTTCAACTTTCGCCAATTTTAATGTGTGAATTCCAATATACTCCTCTTCTGTCTCTCCGATGAATGGATAAGAAAATATGCCAAATATTATGGAGTACTAACATGATGCAACGAATTAAGGGGAAGAGATTCACAAGTGTAACTTTAAGATAGAAGGAAACAACCACAAAAATGAGGATTTAAAAAGTATGAAGGAAACTAGGGTCATAGGAATTACAAGGTGTTTCTGTGCAGATAAATCTAGATTTAGAGTGTACCTTTTCTGAAACACAAATAAAATGTTCACGTATGGCTTTCCGTAGATTGCAACGGCAACAAATAATGAGTAGAATTTTTTGTGGTTAACTACATGTAGCGAAATGGAAGGCTTAGTATTTCTTTACTGTTCTGTACTGAATAGAGATCGGAAGTTGCAATCTAACGAGATGTGAAGTTTCCCTCATTAAACAACCTGTGTAACTAGATCTACAAGAGCAAGTGTACACGTATACACACATCAAATCCGTCGACTAAAGTAGTATATACTTCATACAGAAGTGCATTTGAGAGCACCCACTGTGGAGCACTTTTAATAAGGTTGCAGACAATATTTATTTTAAAGAGAACAATTGGGAAATTCTTAGGAATTTCATTCACGTTATCACACTTGAGTCCTAGATCAATGTATACTTACTTCTTCGGTAAGCTGATTATCTTGTATAACTACTGATCCGAAATAAACGAGGAAATTGCGCTTACTAAAATACTTATTTTGGTAATCACATCATTTATTAACACTATTGTATTCTTTTGTCCTACCACCCAGTTTAGTAACAGTTGTTTTTTTTAAATAGGCTGTAAGGAAGTAACTCAGCCTACAGCTTTTATAGTGTCACTGCCTATCCCAAGCCCACACAAAGAAGGGTCGGGCATGAGATCAGCAACTCCATCCCGTAGAAAACAACCTTGCTAAAAAACGCTGTAAGGAAGTGGAATGAGCGCGAATAAATTCTCTCGATTTTGATGTTTCATAGGTCTGATCCACAATGCAGTGGAGCAACATTAGGAGGTGTAGTCCCATGGTAGCCGGTGACTAACAATAGTTTCATACGTTATTCGTTCCCTGAGGATCCTGGAGCCCATGTGCATTATTAGTTTGGAATTAGGATCTTCCAACTCCATTAGACGGATTCTCCGTGCCCACCAACCCGGTTAGAGCGCCGGACATTCGATTTTTGTCCTCTCATTTTTCGTAAATAACACCCTCGCCGTGAGAAGGACATCCCTAACCATGGCTGTGGCAATGTGAAAGCATTTCGAGAGGAAGAGTAGACTCTCCTAACCCTCAGCCTTACTAGGGCATTTGAGGGCTATATCACAACACCTCGCACCGAAATGATAAGTTGACCAACTAAGTAGATTTACGCATCATATTAAATAAAATTATATCCCAATGATGATAATGAAGAAGCTTTATTCACAAATCATTATACTTTTTCTTTAAAAATAAAAAAGCAATCAAAGTCACACGAACTGAGTACAATTTGTAAGGGAGCAGTGATCCTGAGTAATAAACTTAGAAAAGAATAACACATGAATAAACCCATTAGCTCATGAATCAGTAATTATTTTAAAAGTAGATGAAAACCCGTTTTGAAATATATTAATGATCAATTCAGAAAAAGAAAGACAACTACCAACAGTTGTTACAAGAGATCGAGTTTCATAAGAATAACTTTGACAAGATACAGAGTGCAGCACAAAAACACTATCGATTAAAAAATACACACACACACGATTTATGGATATGTAGAGTGCTTCATGTGTGTTTATCAACAAACTCTACACATTCGCTCACACCCATACACACACACACACCTAACGTACATACAAATCAATTGTGATGATAAGTTCATTACATCCTGTAATAAACAAAACAAGATATCAAATAAACATCACCCAAAGGAAGATACAGAATACAAGAGATACTCTCATAAACTTCAAATCAATGATAATAGATAACACAACAGTAAGAGAGTAACACAGAAAAGAGGTAACACATTGGAAAAAGAAAAAAAACTAGGCGTATTTTCATACTGAAATAAGTTAGGTGTAAATTAGTTTATAATAAAAATTTACAAAACATATAAGCAATAATAAACAATATTAACATTGGTAAAATCCATTGTGAAAATTTTAATATACGTTTTTCTAATTTTAATAAACGTCTTAATTCATTATATTCATTAACATGTGGAAATGGACAATTTGGTATTGGTAAATTAAGAAATTTACATAATGGTTCCCAACCTTGACTTATATCAAATTTTAATAAACGATCAGATGGTATAGTTTTAATAACAGTTTGATTCCAATTAACAAAACCATTTAACATAGATGTATCATTAGTAAAATCCATATTCTCACCAAATACACGTTTACAATTCATAACAAATAATTCATGAAATTGTTGTAAACCAATACATTTTCTTAATAATTGAAATGACCATGAACGTGGTTGATCTATATCTTTAGGTAATATAGTAGAACGACAACCAGCTAACCATATCTCAGGATCACGAACAGTTAAAATAACCTATTTATGAAAGGATAAAATGCATTGATTAGTATTTATTCACAAAACGATGATTAAAATATATATTTCTGTAAAGCTTACTCTCGCGATCACTGATCGGAATATTTATACACGGGATGTGAATGTGTATATGAACGGTGCGAATGGTCCACCAAGGTGTTTGATACCTGAGTGGTTGTGTCACAGGATTGGACTGTACTGTTCGGATTGTAGCGTTAAAGCCTATATAGTGTCTGGTTCTTCTATTGGGCGGGATTGAGCTGTACTGTTTGGGTTTCCGTGTGTAAGTCTAGATGGTGTCAAAGTCAAATTTCTCAATACAAAACGACAACCAACATGGCTCAAACTAGAAGTTAGTGATTTAAACGACTGATGGCGCGTTTTGGTTTGGCCGCCCCTAGCTTTCTTTCAACCGTCTCCAACACTAGTCAGTGACAATAAAAACGACTAAACGCATTAAATATGATTTGAAAGGGACAACTGAATAAGAAGAATAAAAGGTACAATATAATTTCGGAACTCAGGACCTAAGAGAAGACAAAGAATGAACATATGCATCTACGCTACTGAGACTAATTCTAAGCAATTTCACCCGTTTCCAACCGTTGGTCACGACAATTTAACCAGGTATTCTACACTTAATAGTACAGTTCAGACCAACAGTTAATGACTTTATGAATTGATGCCAAGCTTTGATTTGTGTGCCGTTGGCTTTCTACTCCTACATCAGACAACATGTCAAGCTTACGCAAGTGACAGTCGAACTAGTGACTCTTCATTGAAACTATTTTGATTTCTTTTGAATAAAGCCCATGGCTTTGAAGGTAAAAAAAATAAGCAATCGTAAACCGCTGAATATATTCAAGTGGTCGGAAAATATATTAGATTATGGTGTATCTAACATTTAGTTTTTAGTAAAGATAAACTCTAATAAAGATCAATATTAGCCAATTTTCTAGAACAAAATATGAACAGTATATATATATATATATATATATATATATATATATATATATATATATATATATATATATATATATCATACAGTCATTGACGTCTAAATCATGTTCACATTGTGTAATATATTTCGTAAATCAGTATGTCATTCTAGTTATGTAGAGTGATTCGATTTGTTAACAAATCGTTGAGAGCTTTGCGTCAATCGTCATTTGATAATAGTACTCGCAATAAGTTGGGAAAACGATTACGAATCCGCATAAAAATACAAGCTCTCATTTTTTATATCAGTAGCTAAAGAATACAAAAGACTTTGGAACAAAAAATTACCAAAGTACGTGTCATGAAACTGACTTTTTTAACCAACACAGTAAGTAACTACTGGAAATATGACAGGAATTCTTTTTAGAACAGAAATGTAAGGCAGTTGAAAAAATTGGTAAGGTTTCTTGAAAGTAGCCTATTAAGATCGATTTCTGTAGTTAGCTTTCTTGATGTCTGGTCCGTGAGCAAAGTGCGATTCAATATCTTTTGTATTATTCCGGACAGCAGCTGCTACTTCGATATCATGCTGCGATTCTCCAGTCATGACCGAATCGAGATAGGAATTGGCTGAAACACCTATTTCTTGACGTCCTAACCACGACAGCCAGGTTAACAGAAAATAGAAAACATTAGATCCGACGGTAAAGCCTTGATGGTGACTGTGTTGTAACAACAGTAACAGATAACTTGAACCGATGCATATGTGTGCCTGGTCCTACGTTGCAGCTGACTGACTGACACCTAGGTCTTTTACTTTTCCGTAAATTGGAAATTAAGTTCTCTGCATCCTCAAGAATATCCGCGGCCACCGGAAAAATATAGAGCTTAAAAGAACAGAAATCACTAACTAAAAATGTGAAATGTCGAAAATAAGATCCACTCAGAACAAGCAATTAGTATGATGGTTAGAACACTCTGAGAAAAAGTTCAACTAGTCATCAAATTATTCACTAGTTTCCTACTACTCAGTAACCACACTCATAAAAGTTTGATTTCACACCTTATTAAACTATAAATGACTGACAGTTAAGGACAGGTTAAAATACTTATTTATTTATTTAAACACATAAATATTGGTACAAGGGAGCACCAGATACATATGCGCCTCACAAATCTCATTTGATTTGTGTCAGGGTTGTGATACTGCTCAGGTGCCCAAACTGAAGCAGGTGGTTTTCTTAAGGGGCCACATCCCGAGCCTTTGACCTAAAGGTCTGGCCCACAAGGCAATAGAGCATCGTGAGGAGATGCAGTCCCATGGTAGCTGGTGACCAACGATTGGTTCGTACGCCATTTTTCCCTCAGATTACTGAAGCTCATGTGTACCATTGGTTTGGAATCAGGGTTTTCCAACTCCCCTAGGTGAACTTTCCGTGTCCATCGACCCGGTTAAAGCGCCGGACATTCGCTTTTCGTCCTCTCACTTTAGGTAGGGCCTGTGAGGTGAATGCAATTCCATTAGATGAATTACAGGAACCCCCTTGCAACAACTCAGTTTGACCAATAGTTACCAAAACATTGGCATTCATTCTTATATAACCTGTAAGTGTATTTCAAGAGTAAACTGGCCAATAATATGATAAATAAGCATTCTCTGTTTAACATGTCTGAAGATACAAACATACCTATTAACTACCGAAGCTCGTCAACCTGAAGGTGGGATTAATCCTCAACAATCAAAAGGTATTTTAGCTGTCCAAAGACATACCATAGAAGTTCGTAAACCTACTGAAATCTTTTCATTCTAGTACTGTTGGTCGAGCCAGAGCTGATGGTCTTCGAAATTAGTTACTTGATCGCATCTTCAAAGTACAGCATGCATATGACTGGACAACAAAAAGAATAATGCTGAGGCTAGGCATTGACTGTTTGATAAATGTGACAAGTCGCTCGATAAGGCTGTAAATCTATATCACTTGAGATGAGTAGGACATAATAAGTACTACAAATTATTATCTACTCTGATGTATATTCGTGGCAAGCATCAGAACAAATTTGAAACAGTCTCCAGATTGCGAGACTACAATATGAAATAACTAAATCCCACCGGAAGGTCAGGAGCTTATACAACGGTTAAAACCTGCAATTGGATCTTACGCTTCAACATTGCTTTGAACCGTCTATTTCTAGACTTTGTATGGCTACCACGTCGGCCAGGTTCTAAGTCGACTGTTTGACCCAATGTTACAATTAGAATTCGAAATTCACTTTTCTAACCATTTAATAACCAATGATCTTCTAAAGTATTTTTAGAGTAGCTAATCTTGCCGAAACTGTGAGTGCTAACCTTTATGACACCTTTTACACATGCGTAAAACTGATTAATTTGTTCTATCTAAACGATCTACAGTCACCGTCTGGTCGAAAGTGAATGCTTCCACCGAATACGTATACTGAACCAGTCTTTCTGAAACCATGTACACCATTCAAACTGGCTTGCTCCAACGTTCGCACACTAATGTAGATCGGACAACAGATAGGGCTGGCTATGTCTTTAGAAAGTCTTAATATCGACGTTTGTTGTCTATCCGAGACTCGTATGCAAAACTCTGGTGAAGCACTACAAATTCGCTCTCCATTTGTCCCTTCAGAAATCTTATTTTACGTGCGTTTATCCGGTGACCTGGTGTCCTCCCTCTGCATCTGAAGCCTAGACTCAGATTGATCACATCGCGATCAGCTACCGCTGACGTGGTTAAGTACAAGACTGCCGCTCCTTTTGGAGTACCTATCTGGACTCTGATCACGCCCTGGCTTGCGCCAATCTAACCTTACTTTTCGGTGGCCAACGAATTGATGTCAATAAATTGGTTGCAACTTCTGTTGTAAGTATCGAACCGAGCTAGCTTCTAGGCTGGCTACCATCCCACTGAAAAGTATAGATGAGCATTGGTTGAAACTGCATGACGCCATGAAAATGGCAAGTAAAGCTGCTTGCGGCTTCGCGAAACGTCCAACTTATAAGTACTGGGTTTCTTCAGGCTCCTTACAACTCATTGAAGCCCGTCGGTCTACTCTGGGTGACCGTGAGTTTGATCACAAACTAAGGCCGTTAAGAAATAAAATTGGGCAAAACTTGCGTGAGGACAGAGAAGCCTGGTGGTCGGAGCGTGCTAATGAGCTGGAAGCGGTAGCTGCATCTGGTAACTGCCGGAAGCTCTTCCAACTCATCCGAGCCACTGGCAGCAAGAAGTCTGGTGTGAGTGAAACAATCTGTGAGGATGACGGAATGCCAATCACTAACATCCATCGAAGTCTTGGACGGTGAGCAGAATATACAAACATCTCAGGTAGAGTGAGGGCATACAACCACCTCTCTCCATTGTTTCACTCAGGCAGTGGGGTTTTGGCAGGGTTGCTTAATCTTACTGTTTCTCCTCGACTTTTCCATCGACGGTGTCCTGAAAACAACTCTAATTGATGCAGGTAATGGTTTATTATTATTTATTTAAACACATAAATATTGGTACAAGGGAGCACCAGATACATATGCGCCTCACAAATCTCATTTGATTTGTGTCAGGGTTGTGATACTGCTCAGGTGCCCAAACTGAAGCAGGTGGTTTTCTTAAGGGGCCACATCCCGAGCCTTTGACCTAAAGGTCTGGCCCACAAGGCAATAGAGCATCGTGAGGAGATGCAGTCCCATGGTAGCTGGTGACCAACGATTGGTTCGTACGCCATTTTTCCCTCAGATTACTGAAGCTCATGTGTACCATTGGTTTGGAATCAGGGTTTTCCAACTCCCCTAGGTGAACTTTCCGTGTCCATCGACCCGGTTAAAGCGCCGGACATTCGCTTTTCGTCCTCTCAATTTCGTAAACAACACCCTCGCCACGAGGAGGCAGTGAGTAGGACTTCCCTGTCAGAGGCTATATAGTCGCGTGGCCATGCGAGAGCATTTTGAGAGGGAGAGCGGACTCTCCCCACTCTCGGCCGTACCAGGGCATTTGGGGGCAATGGTGTGGATCTGTTGCCTGGAGAAAAACTTCTCGACCTTGAGTATGCGGATGATATAGTCTTACTGAGATAATGCCCAGGCCATGCAATCCGCAGTTGGCAATCAGTGTCCGCAGGTATGGTGTGTGTTTTGCATTTTCGAAGTGCAAAGTACTTCCACAAGACTGGAGGGATTCTAATCATGCACTCATCCTAGGTGGTGAGCAGATTGAAGTAGTCTAGAAGTCCATGTATCTAGGTAGCCGCATGAGTGCTGGCGGGGGCGTGAGTGATGAGATTGATTCACGTATAGTGAAAGCCGGAGTGGCTGGTGCAAATCTGGGCCATCTTTGGCGCCTTAATGATGTTAGTCTGGCTGTAAAACGTCTGATCTACAACGCGTCGGTGAGAGCAATTTTTTCCTTATATTTGTGAAACCTGGCCTCTCCGATTTGAGGATGTTAGACGACTCTCTGTGTTTGATGATCGTTGTCTCCGGAAGATTGCTGACATCTAGTGGCTTGGACATGTTCTATAAATGTCGTCCCAGAGAATTCCACGTCGTGCATTGTTTGCCGACGCTGGGACTGGTTGGTAAAAGCGGAGAGGTGGTCAGTGTATGACGTGGTGTCGTGGTATGAAAGAAAGCTGCGAAGGGCTGGCTTGTAGAAGTTGGTCCTTCCCGACTCCCTGGCTGTGGTCCGAGAGATGGTGCAACACAGTGGCTAGAGACGTTATCACATATGCCTTAGAATAGAAGCCAGTGGAGATCCTGATGTACCCTTTTTCTTCCTTCATAAAAAGTGGTTGTAACTTCCTTAACTGAAAGAGTTCTCCTGGTTGTACATTTCTGTTTCCCCCATCATTATTCTTATTATTACACGAACATGTGTGGTTATTATTCTTCTCCTTTTTTTCATATATGCACCTTACCCTCTTTCTCTCCCCATTCTCATTGTTTTGTGTGGCGCATATATATCTGGTGCCCCTCGTACCAATATTTGTGTCCAAATAAATAAAAATAGAAAGCGATAGTGAGCCGCTGAACCTATTTCAAAGAACTGCAATTAAGCAGGTTCTCAGAATAGCATGAGTGCCGTATAATGATAGTTTGACTAAACTAAACCTGTTTCCCTTGTCATATAAAAGAACCAGAGGTGAATTGAACAGTTTTGAAATTATCTAATGATAAGTTTGCATCTGATATGCCCTTATCTTTCTTGTCTCCAAAAACAGAGAATTTACGAAGACACTGTAACGAAACTCACAAGCCCAGAACACATTACTTGTCAGCTCACAACCGACTTCCCCATCAAGTCACAAACCAACGGAATTCACAACCTCAACACGTGATTGAAGCTCCATCTGTAGACGCATTTAAAAGAAAGTTGGATCAACTGAGATGCTGCCATTTCCAGAACTAACACAGATCACGCAGCCTTCCGCGCTATCCAAACTGAAACTGATATGATGTGACGAATAAATTGTTAATACATATGAGATTGTTTATATTTTTAGTTACATAGATCTGATGCATTTAATATAAAGCGCAGATCAGTTATGTCTAAAAAGCTGACCAAGTGCTGGCTGTCGTATACAGCTGTCAACGCTTGTAAGTTCCTACTAACTTAAGATATGGTACTCTAATCCATGCAAGACAAAGCAGCATTAACAAAGAAAGTCTCGCAATGATGAACATAAACTATAGTTTACGTCGCGACTGTAAAATTTGGCGAAGTGAATACGCAAAATAATAAATTACCAATTATTTGTGCCAGCTCATAACGCTGTAGTGCACAAGCTGTTACACTTAGTACTTGAACACTAAAAGAAGTAACTAAAAAAACCAAACGAACAAATGACGAAGCTAATATTAGCATACTATAACGGGAAATAAAGGTTATGCACGATGAAGCATCTAGATATATATTTATCCTTATAATAAAATTATTTGAAAATAAATACCAACTATAGACTCACTTTTGCATCAGGATAAAGTTCTAATAACTCCTTGTAGTATGCACATGAAGGATGATCGATGGCAGCCGTGTATCCTTTGAATATTTTATGACACAGAGCATTATCAAGTTTTTTATCTGGTGATTCATTTAATTTTCTATCAAGTTCCATCCATTTCGTGATGTGTGAATGTTGATGCAAGTATATTTCCTTTAGGTGATAGCAGGGCTTTTTATAAAGTAACTCCAAAGCAATTTTCAAACTATTGGTACCGGTGCGACCCAGACCCGCACCTATTACTACGAGACCTGGCTCTTTGTCCTCACAGCCCATTACACAAGAATGGTAACACCCACTGAATGGACGCGTTTTATTCATACAAGGTCATCTATTCGTTTTGCAAGCTGATTGGTTAAAATACAATTGACCAATCGTCTGATACAATATTAGTGATAGGAGATACAGACAGGTCGAATATTTGACACATGTGCCTTCGGCACGAAAACAAGAAGCAGTTGGTTTGAAACGATCAATAGTATCATTACGTGAAGAGGCGTTTCTAGAAAAAACCACTTATATCAAATGGGATTCGTCCCACTGATAAAACTCTAAGAGTATTATTCGGGAATCTATAGAAAGGAGTAACATGAATCTTTTTCTTTAGCCATTCAACATATGGAAAATTGTATTCACTGTCCCCGACTTCTTTTACCATAGATACTGGAGATCACCATCTACCAACAGCATTGAGATCGACTCCCCTATTAGTATAACTTTGTAAAACAGTAGGTATCTGTGTATTATTGTCTCCTAAGCTTGTCAGATATATAGATAAATTTTATTAAATGTTGTACATTTCTAAACTTCTGTGTATAGTGAGCGTGGCGCGCGAAGATCTAATAGTTTCAAATCATAAAATATTAAGTTCCATAGATGTAGTGGAAATATCAGTAGCAATGAGAATTTCCACCGTCGGTTTTCAGAAAATGAATAGCAACTTAAATGCAGTTAAAGATCACCAATTTGTATGGCTTTATAACATTAATGTTTATAGAAGTAACCCGGTAATATGGATCATTTTCAGATATCGTTTCTGTTTTATTAATTAAATGACTATGAGTTCAAGTACATAGAGAGCAAAAGCTGAATACTACATTTGAGTGTATTCAGTACATATCGAAGATATCGCTAACAGCTTGTAGTATTAAGCAGCAGACCGATTGGGTTACAGCATTAACATGGAACAACGATATTAATGATGGGAAAACGGAATACTGGGTACACAAATAACCGGCCCTAGTTTATGAGTGGAAAATGCCATGGCAACAAATTACGACTCAAATAAAAGCTTAGATTTAGGATAACATGGCATTAACAAAGCCAAAATACCCAATAAACATGCAGTCAATATATATATATAAAATCGTAGAAAAATAGCTCCGAAAGTATGTACCTCATAATTAAATTGTCTCGAACAATAGCTAAGGCTTAGATGGAGTGAACAAGAATAGGGTTTGATTATCGATTGATAACTGTGACAGATCACAGTAAATGAGCGTGATGTTCTGTATCAGAGAGACGTCTTGAAATACATTGCTGAAAGCCGCTAGTCTCACTAACCCAGAAAATTTCGGGATATATTTAAGAATCGAACGTAAGTCCTTCTTCCTGTCCTATCAATGTAACAGGTTCAAAAGGTACAAGTAAATTTGTGTAGGCAATTGTTTGTGCATTGGCAAGGTTGCTTACTCTCACATTTTCTCTTTCTCCTGGTGATCAACTGGAGGGGAAGCACGAGATACAGTGGACAGCCAGGATGCAGCTGGACGGTCTAGACTTCGCATATGATCTGGCTCTTCTATCACACACGCAACAGCAAACGCAGGAGAAAACAACCAGTGTAGCAGCAGCATACATAAAAGGAAAAGCAAGATTCTCCGATACAATACAGCATGCACCAGTCGAATTACACTTGATGGAGAAGCTTTGAAGGATGTAAAAACCTCTACATATATGGGCAGCGTCATTGATGAACATGGTGGATCTGATGCAGATGTGAAGGATCAGATCAGTAAAGCAAGAGTAGCGTATCTACAACTCTCAACCAACAACAAAGTCAGAATTTTCAATACAAATGTTAAGACAGTTATACTGTACGGGGCGGAAACTTGAAGGACTACGAAAGCCTTCATCCAGAAGGTACAAGTGTTTATTAACAGTTGTCTACACAGAATATTTCGGATTCGTTGGCTAAACACTATCAGTGACAACCTACTGTGTTAGAGAACAAACCAGATTCCACTGGATGAAGAAATCAAGAAGTACTGGAAGTGGATAGGGTACATTGTGAAAAGCACCCAACTGCGTCACAAGGAAAACCCTCACATGGAATCCTCAAGACCAAAGAACACGTTATGCTGAGAAATGGAAACCGATATGAGAATAATGAACAACAGCTGGGTAGAACTAGAAAAGAAGGCCCATGACAGAGTGGGTTTGAGAATGCTGGTCGATGGCCTATGCTCCATTTGGAGGTAACAGGCGTAGGTAAGTTGTTTGCGACTTATGACCAACTTCACAGTTTTATAAAGTCACTCAGTAAACTATGGAAGCTCATCATTCATTTAGGTTGGGTATGTGGATTTCTTCACTGTAAGACTTTTACTCGTATCTGCAACAACGAGTCACAGTTAGATCAACTTGATTTATTTTGGGGATTAAATAAATTCTTATCACTTGCGTTTTTTTCTCACCGTGCGTCGTTATACTTGGAGTCTCATTAACAATCACGAGTACGTTGAATCTGCCGTAGAATTTACATTATCTCCTGTTTATTCGTGGTAGAGAACCTATTTTGGTTAAGTTTCCATCTACGAGGAATCGCAGTCCAATGCGACCTAAATATTCCTATGCAAAGTGAATGGCCATCACTGAGCCTATGAAGAACAAATGAATTGTGATTTCACGTTAATAGGAAGCTCCTCCAAAATACATGTATTTCGGACACTAGTAAAATACTTTACAAGACGTGAATTAGGACTTTAACATTACTCGTTGATCACTTCAGGTTCCGTTCGATATACATCAGAGCCTTGATTCGTGTTGAGTTCCAAAGCGTACGCCTTTACATGCAACACAATGAGTTTTCCTTACTGTACTTAAAATCAAATGATTATCCATCAGAAAAAATTCCTGTTTTCTAAATAATGGTTCGTTTCATTTGTGTGGATTGGTGAGGCTAAAAGAATTATCGTGTGGGGGAAAAACGTCTTTATGTTTACTTAATAAACTTTGTTTAATCATGAGACAGGAATATGACTTTTTCTACTGATTATACGAAGTTCAAACCTATTTCCTCTCTCATATTTATGTATTCGTTGGGACGATTTGAAGTAAAATGATACATGAATCTATGACGTAATTGTTCCCTTTTTCTTTAGTTCCTTAAGAGAATTTGCCAATTGTTTTCTTACTTTTTTATTGATGTCATAATTACCAGTAACTTTTGAAATTTGCTAGGATCACTAAGCATTGCTCCCATTTTTCAAATGTAATCCGTTTTGTTCATCAGAACTATACCTCTTCCCTTATTTGGTTTGCTTATGATCAAGGTTTCATCTTTCCTTAGTTTCACTAGAGTCTCGGTGCTGCTTGGTTAGTAGGTAATTTGTGGTACCCTTACCATTCTTGTATTGTTGGTAGCTATCAAGTAACGTGGTTTTAAACCTAGCTACATCCTCTGATGAGGTAGGATTCAAGTCAGTTGTTTATGAAAACGAACTCTCAAACTGTACATCAGTATCTAATTGGTTGATTTTATGCCTACTATCACAGAATTTAGGCTCCAAAGACAAAGCTTCTAGCTTTATTACATCTAGTTCGATATTGGAAAATGTATATACATCCCGATTCGGGTCGAAAGGAAATTCCGTTTCTGGTCTTTCGTTTTCCAAAGTTTTCAATAGTTTTGTCTTCTCAGATCTGTCTTTGGAAATTTTTTCCACATAATCCATGAACATTGTGAAGCTCTGAAGGCAGGTTTTTAACGGAATATTGTCTCTGAAGATTCTTTTCCAATTCGCGGATATTCATTTTTAAAGTATCTATTTGATTCGATGTGTATCTTTCAAGTGTTTTTGCATTAGCAGTAGTGTCTGAGCATCATATCGATAAGTTAAAGAAAAGACTCGTGATATAGTACATGATCAGGTTGGACCCCACCCAAATGTGTGCAGAGCAAACAAAAGCCATACAGAATTACGCTGCAACAACCGACTGGTCAGTAAATAACAGCTCATCAACTGAAGCATGGTTCACTTGGTTTGGCCACATCCCCGTTTATACCATGCTTAGTACTACGCAGACCCAATAATCTTCCAGCATGGATAACTACAGGTCAAAAAACATCTTTGAAGTATGAAAAAGCATTAGAATGTGTTCATCTCTACAGGCTCTAAACAGTACAAATCCATGCAAAGCGTTGATAAGTAAGGCTAGACATTTGTATGAAAAACAACTAGTTAGGGATTCTGAAAACGTTGTTCACGTATACAAAGGTGACTTCAAAAAAGTGGTGGGATCCCACCACTTTTGGTACAAGAAAATCCGTCAATATTGGCAAATGATGTGAAAGCCAAAGCTTTATCAGAGTACTTTAGTAGTGTTTTCTGCCGACGATAGTGAAAGATCATCATTGTCGATGGGCCCTCTGGTTATTAATAAAGCTACTGTTAGAACTGTCTTACAATAACTTTGACATCTGAAACCAAATAAGTCCAGCGGTCCTGACAATATTCAACCTAGGATTATGAGAGGTCTGGCGGATGTAATTACTGAACCTCTAGCTATACTGTTTGATATGTTTAAGGTAGTCTAAACTGCTAACAAACTGGGAAAATGAAATGATCAGTCCGGTTTATGAAGCAGGGATCAGACTTAGTAATTATCGATCCGTTAATCTAACCAGTGTAGGCGTTAAACTAATGGAAATTTTTATTCGGATGGCTATTCTGAACTGTGTGGAAGGGGATGACATTTAAGCCAGGAAACATAGTTTAAGGAAAGGTTCTTAATAGTGGACAAATCTGCTGGTCGAAAGAGATTGGGCTGCAGCGAAAGACAGTAGTATACTGATAGTTGTAGTTTTCACATATCTAAATAAACCTTATAACCAAGTCTTTCATTTGAGTCCTAAATTAAAAGTGAAGTTTTGGGGTTCATTGTCTAATCACAAACTGGATAAGTAACTTTCTCATTGATAAGAGACAACGGATACGGAGCTTTATCAACGTGAAAGTCTGTAAAATGTGGGGTTCCCCAAAGTAGAATGTTTGCCCCTCCTTGTTCTCTTACGTCGTGTAAACGAATCACTAACTACATCAAAGTGATCGGTTCTACATTCTGCAGATGATATAAAGATTTAGAGGCCCATGCATGGTCTGTCAGAATATCAAGGTATGACCTAAATTCACTGGTGGATGTACAGGTGGTCATGAGGAGTTAATTCTAACAAGTGTAGTGATCTGAACAAATAACCGCGACGATTCATGTCACTACAAGATAAGTGAAATAGTGTTATCTAAGAATCATAATAACCGGTGACATTAGAGCTACGAATAACTTTGTGGTTGCCGCTGCTAAAGACTTTAGGGTCTTAGAAACTATTCGTAGGTCACTGCATTAGTTGGAAGAAATGTTTAGGGTAAAATATCCGACTTTTGCGAGGCCACGTTCAGAACATGGGATTGCAGCAGCGAGTGCTTATTTCAAGTGTGGGGAGGATATGCTAGAACGAGTTCGACGGTGAGGAACTGAAATGGTGAAATGCCTCGCTGGCCTATCTTATGAATACAGATTAAGTCGACTCAACCTATTACCATTATCCTACCACAGGTTACGGAGTGACCTAATACTGACCCACCGTATACTGAAGGGTGGTTTTCGCGTTTCTGTCTTGTACTTTCCTTCCATCTAGGATCAACCATCTGAGAGAGCATTCTAAAAAAATTCAGAAACTGAGATCAAATCGTTGAAGTGCCGTCTCAGTAATTACTGAAATTCTCTACCAGAACGTAATATCAGCAACCTCCTGCAAATATATTCAAAGCGAGATAATGAAACAATGCTATAAATTGCAAAAATTTATATAGGTCGACTGACCTATTAATACTACTGAAGACTATAAAAGCACAGAAATCTTAAAAGAAAAAGACAAGCGAGCCCCTACTTTCAAAGCACGCATGAGTATCTCTATCCCGTCTTGGGAGTGCCCAGGTCCCAAACGAGGGACGCCAACAAGACTTTACGAATCATCATCCTCACCCACCAACTACGTATACACTTCAAATTATCACTAACGCGCAACAATAAAATATTTCTAGATCTCCGTAAGGAAATGTAAAATTCATAGTAAAAGAAAGCCCAACACCTGCCAACAAGTGGATGAAACTGATGACTACAACACCGCTTAATCCTACAACGTCTAATCCTAGCTTGAAGAGTTAACAAGCGAATGTTGGTTTCGATAGACACACTTCGATACCCGAAAAGGACACTTTATTTACAGGATGTTTCAGATCCCCCAACCGTAAAATTTGATAGCAGCCGAGGGTGAAAATCATGAGCATATATTATTTACGTATTCAAATAGAAAATCAAATACATAAAGATAACAGCATTATGATGGCACAGAATCGGCCTCAACACCCTTGATTTTGCGTTTGTTCACCTTCGGTGTTTTTTCGTTAACCATTACATAATGATAGAGGACTACTAACAGAAAGAGGACGGAGCCAGCTAAATTCGCAAATACAGTCAACTGTACGTCCGTAATCATCGCTAGTGATAAAAGTAACACCTTACACGTTACGACCTCCAGAAATTCAATTTCCAATAACTCAGTTTCAGTTTGGAAATCACAGGAGGCTTGATGGCCTAAGTTAGTTCTGGCAATTATAGTCTCTCATTTGATACAACTTTCTTTTCAGGCCAGTGTTATTCCTCCTGTACGTAAATGATCTCCCTCGTCTACTATCGTCATCGGCCTTACTCTATGCTGATGATGTCACGATATGGGGAGCGATACAAAGCAAGGGCGATAGCTTAGAACTTCAAAATGACCTGGAGAGATTATCTGAATGGTCCCAAACCTGGCAATTGCCGATAAACACTTCCAAGTGTATTGTGATGCATATTGATCATCAAGGTACAGATACATACACGATGAATAACACTGAACAACCTACTGTCCAGACACACAATGACTTGGGGATCATTGTTGGCCAAGACTTAAAGACTACTGCACACTGCCGTGCAATAGCCGCCAAAGGTTTTAGAATTTTATGGTCAATACGTAGGGCTTTTAGTCATGTCGACGCTAAAACGTTTTCGACTTTGTATACAGTGTTCGTGAGTCCTAAACTTGAGTACTGAATACAAGGGGCTAGCCCTTGCTCATAAAGACAGTGAGCTTTTGAAAAAAAGATCACAGAACAGTAACTAAGCTGATTCCCGGAATAGCGAAGCTCTCGTATGATGCTAGACTGGTCAAGGTAAACCTATTCCCGTTGTCATATCGAAGAACCAGAGGCAACTTGATTACAGTTTTCAAATTGCTTAGTGATAAATTTGCACTGATATGCCCTCATTTTTCTTGTCTTCCAAAACAGAAAATTTACGAGGACACTCTAAAAGGTTCACAGGCCCAGAACAAATTACTTGTCAGCTTACAATCGACTTTCCCATCGAATTATCACTGAGTGGAATTCATTGCCCCAGCACCTGGTTGAGGATCCATCTGTTTCAGTTTCAGTTTCAGTTTGGAAAGGACAGGAGGCTTGATGGCCTGTGTTAGTCCTGGCAATGATGGTCTCTCAGCTGATCCAACTTTCTTTTGAAGGAGTCGACGGATGGAGCCTCAACCACGTGCTGAGGTAATGAATTCCACTCGTTGATTATTCGATGGGAAAGTCGGTAGTCAGCTGACAAGTAATTCGTTCTGGGCTTGTGAACTTTTTTTGAGTGTCCTCGTAGATTTTCTGTTTTGGAAGACAAGAAAAATGAGGGCATATCAGTGCAAATTTATCACTAAGCAATTTGAAAACTGTAATCAAGTTGCCTCTGGTTCTTCGATATGACAACGGGAATAGGTTTACCTTGACCAGTCTAGCATCATACGAGAGCTTCGCTATTCCGGGAATCAGCTTAGTTACTGTTCTGTGATCTTTTTTTCAAAAGCTCACTGTCTTTATGAGCAAGGGCTAGCCCCTTGTATTCAGTACTCAAGTTTAGGACTCACGAACACTGTATACAAAGTCGAAAACGTTTTAGCGTCGACATGACTAAAAGCCCTACGTATTGACCATAAAATTCTAAAACCTTTGGCGGCTATTGCACGGCAGTGTGCAGTAGTCTTTAAGTCTTGGCCAACAATGATCCCCAAGTCATTGTGTGTCTGGACAGTAGGTTGTTCAGTGTTATTCATCGTGTATGTATCTGTACCTTGATGATCAATATGCATCACAATACACTTGGAAATATTTGTCGGCAACTGCCAACTTTGAGACCATTCAGATAATTTCTCCAGGTCATTTTGGAGTTCTAAGCTATCACCCTTACCTTTTATCACTCTTCATATCTTGACATCGTCAGTATATAGCAAGACCGATGATGATAGTAGACGAGGAAGGTCATTCACGTACATAAGGAATAACAATGGCCCCCAAACTGTATCCTGGGGTAATCCACTAAGCACGGTTTCCCAGCTAGAAAACTTGGATTTCACCCGAACTCTTTGTTGGCGCCCAACTAGGAAGTCTTTTGTCTACATGATTAGATTGCCTCTTAGCTGGTATAACTGTCAGTTGTGCAGAACTTTATCAAAAGCTTTGCTGAAATCGATGTAAGCTACGTCTCCAGGTAACTTTTGGGCATTAGGAGCACACCAGATTTCACGAGCGACTAATAGGTTAGTGAGACAGGAATTACCTATTCTAAAACCATGCTCTTTCCCCGAAATTATCCGGTTTTCATCGACATACTTAAACAGCTCCCTCCGAATAATTTTTTCTAAGATTTTAACGACCACACTAGTTGGGCTAACGGGTCGGCAATTCTCAGGTTAATGTTTCGTAACTGTTTTGAAGACAAGACTTACTCTGGCGTTCTCCCAGTCTTTTGGTAAACCACCCGGGGTACGGATAAATTAAAACATATGCTTAAAGGGTTCGCAACGAAGTTAGACGATTCCCTTAGGCTAATTTAAGTTACATGTCTATCCAAATGAAACAATAATTATGGAATCTCTTTATTACACTTACATAACTATTTTCTTCTGTTAACCATTGTCGAGGAGCGTAGGCCACCCACCGGCAATCTTCATCCAACACTGTCCTGGGCAATCCTTTCCAGTTCTTTCTAGTTGCGATTCATTCTTCTCATGTCTACTTCCGATTCTCGAGGCGGTATTTTCCGAATTTCCTCCTCTGCTGGAAGTTAGTTTTTTCTCTTCCACAGTAGACCTTCGCTGATGGCAACGGATATTCAGTATCTTGTGTAGACAATTGTCTATAAATATTTGTACTGTTTTGATGATGGTTGTCATGGTTCTCTAAGTTTCAGACTGTCTTGACGTTCCTTCTGAAGATTCTCACTATGACGTTGGTTGACAGTTGTTCTTAGTTCCATATATTCCACAGCTGCCGCAATTCTAACCATGCTTTTTCAATCCTCACTCTAACGTCTGCGTCAAATCCTCATTGTCCATCGACGACGCTTCTCAGGGAGGCGAGAGATTCTACTCCATTTAGAGTTTCTCCGCCAAGTGCGAATGGGTTGGTGCTCTCCGTGTTGTATTTGAGGATGATGCTTTTCCCGCTGTGTATGTTGAGGTTTACCGATGTGGAAGCCTCTGCCACACTGGTTGTATTGACATGGATTTGCTGACGTGTATGGGATTGGAGGGTCAGGTCAACTGCGAAGTTCAAATCGTCTAGTCGCATACAAACTGTCGAAAGTTGGATCAACTGAGATGCTGCCATTTTCAGAACTAACACAGACCATAAAGCCTCCTGCTCTCTCTAAAGTGAATTTGAAAAAGGCATATATTTGCGATGGTACAGCTTTGAAGATGAATTGGCCTCGAAGAGAACTTTTGCTGTACCAATCTTTATTAGATAATGGATTAGTTGATATATTGCGTTCACTTCAAGTTACATTTATTTTTCAGTGTATTTGAGTTAATTCAAAAACGTGTAGTGGCCTGCTTTTATCGACAAGAACGCGATTGGTATAATTGAAACAATTATTATTATAACCAATCGTACCAGCGATTGTTTTAATGTACTTGTTTAACTGTATCAAAGACACTTCTCGTCCCACTCTCCATCTTGTTGGTTTGATCTCTCTTACGCTCTGTCCTTTTTGCCTATATTCGTAGACACTTCTCGGTATTCTTTCGATACCACGAGATTGCCAATAAATATACTCTACCTGGACCAATCACAATCTTCTGGTTTGTTAGTTATCAAAAAGACCAAGTCGTTTTTGGACGCGTCCTTCGTAAGGCTGTTGCCAAGGTATCGTACCGAATCTACTAGTATGAAAACATGTGAACAGGTAGATAACTCTCGAGGGAGAGCGACCTGTAGATGTTGTATACGAAATGACACCGGAGGCAGTGTTCGTATGAATGCAGACAGTCGTTGGACGTAGTCTGATTCGCCGAACTTAATACTCCATGGTGTGAAAAATTTCACAGGTAAAGATTTCAGAGCATAGCCACATTTTTGCCGTGGGTTGGTTATGTGGCGGATCTGGAATTGAGACTCCAGTGCCACGAACCAAACCTCTGGATCGTGGGGGATAAACGGAACCGGCCGAGAGCTTATTGCCTGTACTTGAGAGTCCATTACATTAATACTATTTTTATCGTTATCCACCATGTTAAGTTGCCAGAATATTATATATCGAAAAATATAAATGCTAATACGTGCAACAGATGTGGATAGAGAAGTTATAGACTCACCGATTTGATCTTGTTTGGAAGATTGGCTGAAGTTGAATTGTGTTCGTAGAATTGGGTCACCAGTTGTAGATGGCGTCGAGTCTTGATGGACTGTGATCACCACTACAATGAGATTACGCGTCCAGAAACGACTTGGTCTTTTTGATAACTAACAAACCAGAAGATTGTGATTGGTCCAGGTAGAGTATATTTATTGGCAATCTCGTGGTATCGAAAGAATACCGAGAAGTGTCTACGAATATAGGCAAAAAGGACAGAGCGTAAGAGAGATCAAACCAACAAGATGGAGAGTGGGACGAGAAGTGTCTTTGATACAGTTAAACAAGTACATTAAAACAATCGCTGGTACGATTGGTTATAATAATAATTGTTTCAATTATACCAATCGCGTTCTTGTCGATAAAAGCAGGCCACTACAAGTTTATCCAGCGCCTCTGAACCACTCAGAACTCAATTTATTTCAAGAATAAAAACGAAAATATTTCTAATTGCTAAATTTCTACTCCTTCCGTATCGTGTGTATAATACGTCCATATTTATTCCCAGTCGTTCTACATATATGTGATATTTGGAGTAATATGCGCTTATCACAGACATTTCATTCGTAGTCATCCAGAAATCATGCCTTCCTGATATGCATGCGCTCAGTTTCTTGTTATTGCACCAATTCTCTTCAAACAAGTTCAATTTTCTGTTATTTGTAAACTACAATATTATTATGATTGTACGATACTTTTGGGTAGACAACAATTCCACAAAGGATTATTTTATATTTTAGTTCCTGCCAGCAGTTCATTTTTATGAGGGTTCCATGGAAAAATGCCTGACATTTCTATCTGCAATGCAACAACAAACTGTAT